CCTTTCGTGAGAGTTTAGGGTTCCGTCCTTATGAAGAATAGTCTCCTGGACGTCAGGTCCTTCTATGCTTAGAGGTTGGTGTTAAGGTGGTTGCTCCTCTGGTTTTGCACTAAGGCTAGGGTGTAATCATTTTGATTCTGTCGTGCGACTGAAATAGGTGTGTTTGTTCCATGCTCTCTCTATTGCATTGTTCTCGTTTATTTGTTGTTGGTTCTGTTGGCAGTTTGCTGTGCTTTCATTTTTTTTTTTTGTCTGTGTAGGGTGCATCATTATTTCGTTTTATTTCTCTTTTTGCCTGTCATTCTTTTTTCGTTTTTGCAATCTATATTTTCTTATTTTTGTCATTTGTCCTGTCTTAAGTATATTAGTTTTCGCCTTCTTCCCTGTTGTGTTTCAGTCTGTTTCTTATATTTGTTTGCTCATATTCATCATTTTCTTTTTTCATCTTTAGTTTTATAGCGATTCCTTCTATTCCTTCTATTGCTTTTGTTTCTGTCACAGTTAGTTGGTTATTTTCTTTTGGCTGGGACTCTTTTTTTTTTGTGTTTAGCCGTTGGGTGATTGTGATTCTGTGGAAGAATGGCTACTACAAGGCAGGTCCAAATGGAGAAGGAAGTTGAGGTTTTAGAGGTTCTTGAGGAGATTGACCATGGAGGAAAGGCTTCTCTTTGTCTTGCTGGTAAGCTTTGGTCTTATAGATGTCATAATAAATATGCTCTTATGCATACAATGGTTAGGGTTTAGAAGACAAAATATGGGGTCTATGCTCAGGAATGGGTACAGGATGTTTTCTTATTTCAATTTAATAGCAAAAAGGATATGCAATCTGTTTTTTTGTCTAATGAACCCTGTCATTTTGAGAGAAATATCCTTGTGCTAAAGGAAATTCAAGGGGATGAGCAGTCGTCTGGTATTGATTTCAAAAGCACACCATTTTGGATACAAGCTCATGATTTACTGTTACATTGTATGACTGAGAGGGTAGTGAGGGTGCTTAGCTCCAAAGTGGATGATTTTTTACAATGGCCGAAAAAAGATGAATATCCATGGGGCAAGTTATTCGATTTCAAGTGATGGTGGATTTGTCGAGGGCTTTGCTGAGCGATTCTATAATTAGAGTTTTGTCTGGTAATTCTATTTGGGTTCCTTTCAAATATGAGGGTCTCCCTATGTTTTGTTTCTTCTATGGACGGTGTGGTCATGGTTTTAAACATTTTGATGATTTGGATAGTGTAGAAGACATTTATGAGGATCAACTAGATTGGCTCAAAGCTTCACTATTGCGCCTTTCCTATGGTGTCCTTAGAGATAGTCGTGGGGAGGAAAGGAGTTCTTCTGTTGCCAAACAATTATTTCCTGAGCCTGCGCTTCATGATTCAGGTATGCCTTTTTCACCACCATCTACTACTACTTTTGTCTTTGCTAATGAGTCTCAGATACCATCTTTTATTGGTGATATTCAAAAATTACAAAGCATGGTTGTTAATAATAAGACATGGCCACCTAAAAATTCTACTATTACACACCTTCTGACGCAGAACCCTATGGAAATTAATTCCAAGAACTCTATGACAAGATTTGGAATAGATCAAAGATCAAACTAAACTCCCCTCTATGGCACCCAAATTGGAATAGATCAAAGATTCAAACTAAACTCCCCTTCATATGGCATAAACTCCCCTCTATGGCACCCAAAGCTTAAAGAAGCAAGAACACCAATAATAGAGTAAAAGAATAAGATAAACGCCACAAATAAATTGATAAGTATACCTTGATTCTTGATGCAATTAAAGGAATGCAATCTCACAATCTCTCTAATCAAAAGTGCACGCCAAAACATGAATAGGCTGTATCTTTGTTAATTCATTGAATGATTTGTTTAACAACATAACAAAGCTATTTATACAAAAATCTAAAAACCTGATCCTTAAAGGATTTAGAATAACTAATCCAAAGAAGGATAACGAATAACTAATCCAAATAAACTAAGGATAAGGAATAATTAATCCAAACCAACTAAGAATAAGGAATAATTAATCCAAACCAACTAAAGATAAGGAATAAAACTAAAGATAAGGAATAACTAATCCAAACAAACTATGGATAAGGAATAATTAATCCAAACCAACTAAGGATAAGGAATAATTAATCCAAACCAACTAAGGTCAAAAATAAAAGGGTGGCCTTATTTATTGGTGGCCCAACCCATTAACAACATGACAACTCAAAACTAACAAAAATGGGCTAACTTATTATGCCAAAGTTAGGCTCTAGTACGGCTAGGGCATGCTACACCATCAACATATGCCTCCAATAATGTAAGAAGCCTAGGTGTGCCTTCAAGTTCCACACAACACTTGTTGAAAGCAAGATCATGAACAACACTTGTTGAAAGCAAGATCATGAAGCTCTTGTGTAACTTGGTCTTGAACATATAAGGACGTGGCTGCCCCATATCTCTTTGTATAACTTCTCGTAATTTGTCCACTAGGAAGCACTAATGGATTTTCCATGTTGTTCTTCTTGTTCCTTTGGATTCCATGGATGAGTGATGGTGGATCTGTATCATCCCCCCTTCTTCAAGTTCCACACAACACTTGTTGAAAGCAAGATTATGAAGCTCTTGTGTAACTTGGTCTTGAACATATAAGGACGTGGCTGCCCCATATCTCTTTGTATGACTTCTTGTAATTGGTCCACTAGGAAGCACTAACTAATTGATTTTCCAAAAGTTGCTTCTTCTGTTCCCTTGGAACCTCCATGGAATGAGTGATTGTAGATTCGTATCATCCCCCCCCCCCTTTTTTAAAAAGAGTTTAAAAAGATTTGTCCTCAAATCTGCATCCATGTCAAAGGGAGACAAATCACTAATATTAAAAGTTGCAGAAACACCATACTCACCTGGCAAATCTATTTTGTAGGCATTGTCATTGATGCACTCTAACACTTGGAATGGACCATCTCCACGTGCATCTAGCTTATGACAAGTTTTGGAAGAGATCCAAGATGAAACTAAACCCCCCCTCCCTCTATGGCACCCAAAGCTTAAAGAAGCAAGAACACCAATAATAGAGTAAAAGAATAAGATAAACGCCGCAAAGAATTGATAAGTTTACCTTGATTCACATGTGAAAGACTTCACCAAACTCTGCCTTTTTTGAGGCACCATCTAAATTAGAAAGTTCATTTAAAAGGTAAATGGAACAAAGATCTAAACACATTAGTGGTCTAAAATTCATAACACAAGCTCAAATGCGACTAAACTTGAAGTAGAATTGTATTACTACGCATTTATATGCAAACTCAATTGAATGGCAAACAATCTTCCCAAAGTTTCAAGTTCTTACCCACAATGAGCCACCGAAGCAAGGTTCCCTAATAGTTCTATTTCACAACCTCAGTTTGTCCATCTGTTTGTGTCGGTGACAAGTGGTAGAATAAAGTAATTTAATACTAAACTTACCCCACAAAAAATCCCCTAATAAAGGAAAAGAACTGACCTGTCGGTAAATCATGTTCGTGGCTACCCCAATTTGTAACCTACCAACCTCTCTAAAGAATAGTTAGCAATGAATAATCAAGAAGAATGAAATGAGCCATTTTGCTTAAACTATTCCAACAACATCAAATATAATGTCCTTACCATTGCCTTAGTTTCCAGGTAAAATCCCATATAAAGATATCAATCCAAGGTGAACTAGGAACAGGTAAAGGCATGTATAATCCATGAGGAATAGACTTAGATTTGGCCTGTTTACAAGCAATACAAGAATTACAAACTTTCTCTAAATCTTTATGCATATGAGGCCAATCAAAATGTTCATTCCACATATCATAAGTCTTATGTACCCCAAAGTGTCCTATCAATCCTCCACAATGAGATTCAAGCACAAGCAAATCACTCATAGAACATTTAGGCACACAAAGTTTGTTGCCCTTAAACAAATACCCATCATGTCTATAAAATTTATCAAATGCTCCATGATCATATGCCACATATACATTGCCGAAATCAGAATCTGTCACATATAAGTCCTTAATATACTAAAATCCAAGCAACTTAGAATTAAGAGTAGTAATTAGGGCATACCTCCTTGACAATGCATCAGCGACAACATTATCTTTTCCATGCTTGTATTTAATCACATATGGAAATTGTTCAATAAATTCAACCCACTTACCATGCCTTTTATTGAGCTTACCTTGAGGCCTCATGATCTGTGTGGATGACAAACTCCTTAGGTAGCAAGTAATGTTGCCAAACATTTAGAGTTCTTACCAAGGCATACAACTCCTTATCATAGATTGAATAGTTGAGTTGGGCTCCATTCAATTTCTCACTAAAGTAGGCAATTGGTTTCTTTTCTTGCATTAGGACCGCCCCAATTCCCACACCAGAAGCATCGAGCTCCATTCAACTTCTCACTAAAGTAGGCAATTGGCTTCTTTTCTTGCATCAGAACCGCCCCAACCCCCACACCAGAAGCATCACACTCAATTTTCAAAAGTACTCTCAAAGTTAGGTAAAGAAAGTATAGGAGCGGATGTTAACTTCCCTTTGAGCATGTCAAATGCTTGTGGTGCTGCAATTGAAGAGAAATCTTTTACAAATCTTCTATAAAAGCTTGCCAACCCATGAAAGCTCCTAACTTCAGAAACTGATTTGGGAGTTAGCCATTCTTTGATAGCTTTCACTTTCTCCTCATCTGCTTCAATACCCTGTGCACTCACAATAAATCCAAGAAAGACAAGTCTATCTATGCAGAATGTGCATTTGTTAAGTTTAGCATACAATTTTTCAGATCTCAATGTTTTATCCTAACATGCTCAACATGATCATTAAGAGACTTGCTATAAATGAGTATATCATCAAAGTATACAACCATAAATTTTCCTAAGAAGGCACGCAATACATGACAAACCATACTTCGTTTTAAAAGCAATTGTTCATTCATCACCTGGATGCATCCTAATCTGATGATAACCACTCACTTAGTCTTTTAAAGCAGATTTTTCCATTCATCACCTAGGTTGCATCCTTGATGGTAACCACTCATTAAATCAATTTTAGTAAGGTAAGTTGCCCCATGCAATTCATCTAACATATCATCAAGTCTAGGGATAGGGTGTCTATGCTTTACAGTGATTTTGTTGACTACTCTACAATCAACACACATGCGCAACGTTCCATCCTTTTTGGGCATTAGAAGTAGTGGAACGGCACAAGGGCTCATGCTTTCTCGCACCAAGCCTTTCTCTATAAGCTTATTAACTTGCCTTTGCAGCTCCTTTGTCTCCATTGGATTGCTTCTATATGCAGATCTATTTGGAATGGTGGAGCCAGGAATGAAGTCAATTTGATGTTCTATTCCTCTTAAAGGTGGTAAACCACTAGGCACTAGGAAAGACATTATCAAATTCCTGTAACATAGAAACAAAAATAGAAGGCAAACTTGTTTGTTTCAGCAAATAAAACCTCTTTATACCTAAGAAGCAACACGGGCTTCTCCAAGGCAATAGTACACTTAACCTCCCTAGCTCTTGCATAAAAAGTTTGTTTCTTTTTTTCCTCTCTCTCTGTTTTTCACTCACAATTGGGCCATTAATTCGTTTTGTTATTTTTGTGGCCTCTTTCCCTTCATCCCTACTCTTTTCTCTCTATTGTTCTTTTGACTCCGAAATCTCACTTTCATTTTTCCTTAAGGCCAAAACCTTTCTCTCTCTCTCAAGTTTCTTCCTTTGATCTTCATATACTTCTTGGGGTGATAATGGTACAAGAACCACCTTTTTACCCTTATGAACCAAAGAGTACCGATTGTGGAATCCATCATTGAGTGCTCTTTCTATCTTATTGCCTGGCCTTCCAGCAATTAAATGGCCTCCTACTAGTACTTATATCACATTAAAATTTCATCTTCTACCAGCCAATAGAATATCATTAAGTACCTGTCGGAGTCACCTCACCCCCCACAAATCTTCACCTTGTGACTAGGTTTTAGGGTTGTTTGAGACATGTTAATTATTAGTTTGTTTACCATATTTAACACTAGCAACTAGTGCAACTACCCATCAATAATAAGAGTACACCTTTTTCCACTAATCACACCTGTGTGTGAAATATGTCTCACATTGCTCAAGGGCTTCCTCTTGACATGCATATTCAAATGCACCACGCCTAGCAAACTAAAGCTTCACCATGTTAGGAAGTTTAAGTTATCTGAATCTCATCATCACATCAATAATTTAGCTATCATCATAATCACTACATTCAGACTTCAGAGCTAATATTCCATTCATCTTAGTAATCTATTTTATTAGGACATTGAGATGCATAATGCCCTTTCCCCAAATATTTAAAACGTTTAATTTCTCTAGAAGGGGTTGTAGAGTTAGAAATACCTTTGTTGCTTTTGAATTGAGTTTGGACAGCCTCTTTACCTTTTGAAGTTGAATTCGTCCATTGGGAATTAAAACCTTTAAAATCCTTCTTTTCACCTCCCTTAGACCATTTAGATCCCCATGTGTTGTTAGAGTACTTGTTGGTGGACTTCCCTTTTTCTGCCTTTCAATTTTCATGGCCATATCTACTATCTCTTCTATGGAATCATAGCGATACATCTCTAAGGCATCAGCGATATCATTATTTAGACCTCCAAGGAATCAAGATATGGTGATATGTTCATCTTCCTCAATTTTGGCTCTAGCCATGCAAATCTCCATCTCTTTGTAGTAGTCTTCCACACTCTTCCCTCCTTGCACCATTCTTGCTAATTTATTGTGTAAATCCCTGAAATAATGAGTAAGGACAAACTTTTGGTGCATTAACTCCTTTACTCCTTTATGATCTCCCATGGTGGTACAGGTCGCATTCCTTTTCTTCTTCTTTTTAGTAGCAATTGTTCCCACCAAAACATGGCATATCCCTTGAATTTAACAGCAGCAAGATGGGATTTCTTCTCCTGAGAATAGTTATGGCATTCCATTCAAAAATTTGTTCTACCTTTCTCTCCCACTCAATGTATTCTTCAGCATTATTGTTACCCTTATTCTGGAACCCTCATTTTGATTGATCCCAAGTCCCCATCAATTTTACTAAAATCAGTGTTTTCAGCTTCCTCATCATCATGGGTTCGAAATCTAGTTTATGGGTGAGCTCTCGTAGTATTAGAGCTTTGTGAAGCCTTTATCTCTTGTAATTCCTCCCTCATGTCTTGAAGGAAATTGTTGTAGGTTCTAAACTGTCCTTGGATTGATTCCATGAAAAGTCTCAATTGAGATCTTTAATTTGGTTTCCATTCCCATTACCATCTCCAGACTTGCATGTACTCATGGTTAGTGTTCAAAACAAAAAACACGAAAGATTTGAGTTAATAGTAAAGCACTCCCTCACGTGTTTACACTCTTTAATCACTCATTGCAATTCCTCCAATTGTACTTCAGAATCAATTCCTCCAATTGTACTTCAGAATCTTAGGTCAACCGACCAACTCAAAAGCACATTTAGAAACAAGGAATAAAACTTAACAATGAAAAGCAAGCACAAATTCTAGAAAGAAGACTAAAGACTCAAATAGAATGGATGGTAGCACACGAACAAGACTATGTATCTGACTTGATTAATTAATTTAGAGTGTTAGTTAATACAAATAAACTACAACCTAATAATTGTGTAATTGATTTTCAAAGAAAGCACAATCAAAGGATAAAGAAATGATTTTTAATAAGATCAATTTCTGGATATAATGTTATCGAGTTTTAGTTTACTACAAGCTAAACCAAAATATGGACCTTAATTAATTTCGCCCCAACCAAGCAAAGCAAGCAATCAAAGAAAAATCCAAAAATTCAAAAAAAAAAATTTTTTTTATAAGGTCAGAGCCTAGCACGGGCGTGCTAAATAGAAAGCACCGGCGTGCTTGGACAGCTTGGTCCAACAATGAGAGTCAGAGCCTAGCACGGGCGTGCTTGTTGTGAAGCACGGGCGTGCTGACTTGTATTCTCCCTTATCCCACCAATGTAGCCCAATTTAGGTAGGATTAGATTTATACAAGGATTGTAGTGGATAAGCTTAATCTCAAAAAGATATGGATAAATAATTTTGTTTCCTTATCCACAAAGTAGTTAAGATTAGGTTTTATCAAAGGATTATAGTGGATAAGCTTGATCTCCACAAAATAAGGTCAAAATCTCTATGAATAAGGATCAAATCCCTATGAATTAGGATCAAATCCCTATGAATTATGATCAAATTCCACACAACACAATTCAAACTTCAATGGTGGACGATTTTTTTTTCCTTTTTTTTTTTTTTGAACAAACAAGAACGAATCAAGAAGACACAATTAATGCAAAATTCAGTATTAAAACTAAGCAAAACAATAAGACAAAAGACGAACGCAAGAATTTAAGAAAACAAAATCAATAAATCCTAGAACTAAGATAAATAAGAATATACCTTAATCTTGGCTCTGATACCAAACTGACGCGGAACCCTCTAATGGACTTAATTCCAACTCTACATGCAGAAATTTGAAAATATGATCAAAGATCAACTAAACTCCCCTCTATGGGCACCCCAACGCTTAAAGAAGCAAGAACACCAATAATAGAGTAAAAGAATATAGATAAAACGCAACAAATATAAATTGGATTATATTACGTTTACCTTGATTCTTGATCCAATTATGAGGATGAAATCTCACAATCTCTTCTAAGCAACAAAGTTACACGCCAAATAAGCATGAAACAAGCGTGTATCTTTGTAATTCAAAATGTGGAAATTTGAAAAATTTGTTACAACATCAAAAGCTATTATACTAAAATCTAAAAACTGATCGCTTAAAAGGATTTAGAATAACTAATCCAACTAAGGATATATTGATAAGATTAACTAATCTATAAGCTTTGGGTGCCATAGAGGGGGGGGGGATTTAGTTTGATCTTGGATCTCTTCCAAAACTTGTCATAGAGTTCATGGAATAAATTTCCATAGGGTTCCACATCAGTTTGGTATCAGAGCCAAAGATTAAGGTAAATTCTTATTTATCTTAGTTCTAGGGTTTTTGATTTTTTTCTTGTTTTCTTAAATTCTTATGTTCGTCTTCTTGTTTGCTTAGTTTTAATTTTGAATTTGCATCAATTGTGTTTGCTAATTTCATTCTTGTGTTTGCATAAAAGGTGGCCCAATTTATTGTGGCCCAACCCATTAACAACATTACAGCTCAAAACTAACAAAAATGGGCTAATTTATTACGCTAAAGTTAGGCTCTAGTATGGAAGGCGTGCTACACCATCAAATTATGCCTCCAATAATGTAAGAAGCCCTATGTGGGTGTGCCTTCAAGTTCCACACAACACTTGTTGAAAAGCCAGAAGATCATGAAGCTTTGTGTAACTTGTCTTGCACAGTACAAGGATATGGCACCCCGATATCTATTTGTATGACTTCTGTAATTGGGTCACTAGGAAGCACTAATGGATTTTCCATATGTTGTTTTCTTGTTCCCTTGGACTGTAATTGGTCCACTAGGAAGCACTAATGGATTTTCCATGTTGTTCTTCTTGTTCCCTTGGACTCCATGGATGAGTGATGGTGGATTCGTATCACCTTCTTCTGCCCCACCTGCCATCCCGATTCCTGCTTACCCTGTCCAACCCCCTACACCCTTATGTGACCAACCACAATCCCCAAACAGTTCTCCACAAACTGATATAGAAATAACTATGTCAGCCTTAGTCCTACTAATCCTCCCCTCGAAAGTTCCTTTCGTTCCATCTAGTTGTGAGCCCATCAATCTAGCTACTTTTGCTGCCCCACCTAATGACCCTGCCATGCCAAAAAAATCATGGAAATGACAGGCCAGGAATGCATGAGTAGCTGTTTTGGGTACTGGTCTGAGTCACGATAAGCAAAAATTTGGTGCTGCTATTGATTTTGTATGTATGGGTATAGAGGAGATTGTTCTCAAAAGGCCTAAAAAAGGTATGTTTGTTGTTAGTCCTTGTTCTTTTGATTCGACAAAGACCATTGAGCAGTCCCGCTAGCGTAATAAGTGCCTTAGTTTGGAACTATAGGGGGCTTGGGAACCCTTATGCAGTTCGGTCTCTAAAAAAGCTTCTGAAGCTTGAAGATGTCACTTTTGTTTTCTTAATGGAAACCAAATTATTGTCTTCTGAAATGGTCCGTGTTCAGGAAAAGTGTGGTTTTTCTAATGGTATCTCGGGGGATTGTGAGAAAGATTTTGGTAGAAAGGGAGACTTGTGTTTATTGTGGCATCATTCTATTGATATTACTTTGATTTCTTTTTTTGCTCTCCACATTGATATGATTATAGATTAAAGGTGGCGCTTTACTGGTTTTTATGGGAGGTCGGAGGAAAATTTACAGCACTTGTTCTGGTCTTTACTAAATCATTTGTATTCTCAATCTTCTCTGCCTTAGGTTGTTGGTAGTGACATTAATGAAATATTATATAGTTTTGAAAAGAGTTGTGGTCATCCTAAAAGTCAGCAGCACCTTGATGTGTTTCATGATGTTTTGAATAATTACAGGTTGGTGGATGTAGGATATTTAGATTTGCAATTCACATAGAGCAATGGGCAGTCAAGTGCAGGTAACATTCAAGAGAGGCTGGATCATTTTGTGGGCATAGCTGAATGGATTACATTATTCCCGGCTTATAAAGTGGATCATCTTATTAAGCAGAAATCTGATCATTGTCCTCTTCAATTTGCATATAGTCATCTCGAGTTCGAAGGAGGAAAAAGAGGCCATTTTGGCTCAAGCACATGTGGCTCCGGAATGATTTGTGCCGACCAATTGTTAAGAAGTCATGGGTTAATTCAAATTTGGCAGGTTTGGATATTGAGGATAGGTTGGTCAAATGTGGAAAGACCGAAAGCTTTGGGATAGAGTTGAGTTCGGCCATGTCAATAATTCTCTAAAGGACTTCCGGCCGCAGCTTAAACTTCTGTAGGAAAGTGTCCAATCTTATGAAAATATTAGTAAACAAAGGGATATTGAAGCGCAATGAATGAGGTTTTGGCTAGGGAGGAGAGTATGTGGTCCGAACGGTCTTGTGTTTAGTGGTTGCAAGAGGGTGATATGAATACTGCCTTCTTTCATTCTAAGGCTAATTTTCATAAAAAAAGAAATGCTATTGAAAAAATAAAGGACGAAGGTGGATGAGTTTTTGATGAGGAGGTGGATATTGCTAGGGTTATGATCGAGTATTTTGTGCAGCTTTTCTCTTCTGTAGAATCACCTGATTACCGAGATGTACTAAACAGTTTTGATAGACGTGTCTCAGACGAGACGAATAATCAATTGCTGGAACCCTTCACTCTTGAGGAAATTGGGTATGCTCTTAAACAAATGCACCCGTCCAAATCTCATGGTCCTAATGGTATTTCCCCCCTCCTTTTTTAATCCTTCTGGAGTACTGTTGAGTTTGATGTTGAAATTAAAGTTCTTAGAATTCTTAATAACAATGTCTCCCCTGAGTCCATAAATCATACTTATATTGCTCTAATTCCTAAAATTAAAAATCATGAATTTACTAAAGATTTTAAGCCTATTAGTCTTTGTAATGTAATTTTCAAACTAGTTACTAAGGCAA